CATGTTGCTAGCATGATTAGCAAGTAACTAGCATGTTGCTAGCATGATTAGCAAGTAACTAGCATGATTAGCAAGTAACTAGCATGTTGCTAGCATGATTAACAAGTTACTAGCATGTTTCTAGCCCGATTAGTATGTTCCTAGCATGTTGCTAGCATTATTAGCATTCTACTAGCATGTTGCTAGCATGACTAGCAAGTGACTAGCATGTTTTTAGCCTGATTAGTATGTTACTAGCATGATTAACATGTTACTAGCCTGTTGCTAGCATGATTAGCAAGTAACTATCATATTGCTAACATGACTAACAAGTTACTAGCATGTCGCTAGCATGATTAGCAAAGTTACAAAAAAATTTCTAGCATGATTAACATGTTACTAGCATGTTGCTTGCATGATTAGCAAGTTACTAACATGTCGCTAGCATGTTTATAGCATGTTGCTAGAATGATTAACAAGTTAATAACATGTCACTAACATGTTTCTAGTATGATTAGCATGTTATTAGCATGTTGCTAGCATGATTAACAAGTGACTAGCATGTTACTAGCATGTTGCTAGCATGATTAACAAGTTACTAACACGTCACTAACATGTTTCTAGCATGATTAGCATGCTACTAGGATGTTGCTAGCATGATAAGCAAGTGACTAGCATGATTAACAAGTGACTCTAGCATGATTAACATGTTACTAGCCTGTTGCTAGCATGATTAGCAAGTAACTATCATATTGTTAACATGACTAACAAGTTACTAGCATGTCGCTAGCATGATTAGCAAAGTTACAAAAAAATTTCTAGCATGATTAACATGTTACTAGCATGTTGCTAGAATGATTAAAAAGTTAATAACATGTCACTAACATGTTTCTAGTATGATTAGCATGTTATTAGCATGTTGCTAGCATGATTAGCATGCTACTAGCATGTCGCTAGCATGATTAACAAGTGACTAGCATGATTATCATGTTACTAGCATGTTGCTAGCATGATTAACAAGTTACTAACACGTCACTAACATGTTTCTAGCATGATTAGCATGCTACTAGGATGTTGCTAGCATGATAAGCAAGTGACTAGCATGATTAACAAGTGACTAGCATGATTAGCATGTTACTAGCATGTTGCTAGCATGATTAACATGTTACTAACATGTTTCTAGCATGATTAGCATGTTATCAACATGTTGCAAGCAGGATTAGCATGCTACTAGGATGTTGCTAGCATGATAAGCAAGTGACTAGCATGATTAGCAAGTGACTGGCATGTTTCTAGCATGATTAGCAAGTGACTGGCATGTTTCTAGCATGATTAGCAAGTGACTAGCATGTTTGTAGCAATTTCTAGGGGGTTTCTTTTTAAGCGTCGGCTCGGCATGACTAGGGTGTGAGACTTTGTGTAACAAACTTAATAAAAAAATATTTTAACAGCTTTTTTCATTTCAACATACTTGTGCAAAACAATGTTATTCTGTTTTTACACATTTTGCATATCAACATAAAATAAAAAGATGGATGAAGCATGGATAACCCAAGCTGAAATAATCTATTTGATTCTAAACAATACATAGGAATTAAGGGGAAAAAACGAATTTAGAAATACTCTTCTATATTTTTATGTACACAGAATTACATTTTTATAGTTGGAGGAACTAAAAGCCATCACCAAGTCTACAAAATGTGTGCGTACCCAAAGTCAAATAATAAAACCAGTAAAGCTACTAAGTGAAAAATGTGTCACGTTTGAAGATGAAATGAAAACACATTAGCGAGTTCAACTGGTTCTTGCGATTATATGCTGAGAAAACAGAGCCAAACACCTGTTATGAGTGTCCGTCTCAGCTGCACCGTTCCCATTGAGCGCTGCTTCAGCCATCGTCTCCAGTTTAGATGTTAAGTCTTCGTTCTTCCGCTGCAGATCCACAATAACCGAGTTCAGGAATTCAACCTGTGCCAAAGAAGCTAGTTAATCAGCAAAAGTGTGTTAAATGGGCAATTCATGATTTTATAATCCCACAAACCCGCAGAAACCATGTCCTGTTGCTCCGAGACCGTATATCTAAAGTCAAATGTCTATATACTCAAAAAATAAAGTTCATAAAAAGAAAGAAAATGCCTAAAAGACTTTATTATTGAACAGAAGCTGCTTTTTACGGCAGGTTTTACACTGGCTGCTTAAGCGAGGCTCAGTCTGCACTGGTCTGATGTTGTAGGTCATGGACAACAATACACATAACAAAGAGAAAACGGTCCTTTGCATACCTGCCGCTCTGCATTCTCCTTTGCCTCCTTCCATGTTTTTAAAGCAGAATCATCTGGTTGGAACGCAAAACACACATGATTAAACACATGAATATAAAGCAAGGTTTGATCCCAAGTCCAGCAAAAATGCAATAGCAGAACTACATTCTGTCTGGAAGAATTGAAATGCAATGCAATGAAAACAAAATCTACAGTCTTGAAATCCTCTATATAATTCTTCTTTTACATTACATTAACATCTTTCAAATATGTGCATTGCACCCTGTGTCATTTACTGTTAACTGGAGCAGACTCGTGCTGTAAGGGTCACCTGTGCCGCTGATCTGAGCGTCAGCTAAACTCTCCAGAACCTTCACTCGCTCCTGCAGCAGAGTGCTCTCACTCCTGTGGAGTTTCAGACTGGACTGCAGACCTGCTATCTGCTTGCAAGAACCACGAACAACACTGAGCAAAACTGACATTTGCACACACACACACACACACACACACACACACACACACACTCTCTAATCCAAACAGATGTTACCTCGTTTCTCAGAGAGTCTAAGTCTGTGTCCTTCTCTGAGATCAAGGCACTCTGTGTTCGGAGAGACTGCTGAAGTGCTGCCTTCTCCTTTTCTGATTCTTTTGTTAAAGTGCTTTCCCTGTGCAGAAGACAGACTGTATGACGTGTGCTTTCTCCATTCACTCATGCAGGGTCAGAATCTCTATATTAAAACAACAAAGCAAAGACTTCCACACATGGTAGTCAAAATTGCATTAAATTTCCTGTGGTTGCTCACCTCACTTTTATCTTCTTCAGTTGACTATTGAGGCTGTCACACTCCTTTTTGAACTGCATTAGGAGGGAACAGAATTTAATATTTATGCAAATTTTGCATTTATATTTTCAGCTTTTGAAGTGGTCATGAACTGCTTTTTTTTTATTTTGTACTGTTCTCTGAACATAATTGTGTAAATAGAATAAATGTTCTCTTCATAATTCAGAAGTAATAGTCTATTTTCTGTCCTGTTTTGACCCCTCATCAGAACACTGTTTGAATAAGTGTAGCGGATTGTAGACTCAGAAGTAAACGCCCACTGCTGTGATTGGCTAACAGTTGTGTATGATTGACAGCTACAGCCTTCAGAGATGGACGATGCTGTGATTTAGGTTAAAAAGGCAGATCAAACGATCTGTAATAATAGACAAAGCAATAGTGAGCACGTAATAAAAACAGTTTTCACTGATGCGGTCTGGATCTTCATCTTCAAAATAAAGTTCATCCACTCTTTCCTAATGTTCGGATCAGAAGGCAGGCGATGCAACGACTGTGTTTTTCTACAGTTTGACTCTGAACAGCATCTTATTGTCTTCGGAGCATCTTTATCGTTTGGTTTCTGCGTAGACCTGCGTTTGCCTCTCTCGCTATTTACACTACATGCTTGAATCGGTGGGCGGGGCTAAACAGGCCATGATGTAGAATCAGTGGGCGGGGCTAAACAGGCAGTGATGTAGAATCAGTGGGCGGGGCTAAACAGGCAGTGATGTAGAATCAGTGGGCGGGGCTAGCAGAGCTAAACAGGCAGCACTGTAGAATCAGTGGGCGGAGCTCAACAGGCATCGGTGGGCGGGGCTAAACCGGCAGCCCTGTAGAATCAGTGGGCGGGGCAATAGGCAGTGATAGGAAGCAGGTGTTGATCATCTTCTGCGGAGGCGGAGTTTAGACACACTATTACGTCATACAGTGACACATTCCACTAGCTGTCGTTTTGGCAGATTGTCGTTTTGGCAGATTGGCTTCAATATAAGCTGTTTTTAGACTAACGAGAAAGTGTTGAGTTCTGAAACTTACAGGATGTTTTTATAGTACAATGACCTCTTAAATGTTAAAAGATTAAAGGAATTTTGATTTCTCAGTTCATGACCCCTTTACAAAAATCCAGCAACTCAGTAAAGGAGCCTATCATTAACTCACATATTCTAATAGTATAAATCTCAATTTATGAAAACCATTTTTTTTTCCTGAAACTTAATTACAGTCTTGTGTAATAAAGACTGACATGGAAAAACTCCACAGTTCCAGTCTCTGAACAGAAACTGACGAATTAAGAACTGTTTGTCCAAAAGTAATACTAGCTTAATAGCGAGGAACAGAGAAAGTCCAAGCACCAGAAGCTCATGTAAACAAATAGGTGATTTAATTTCCAGTTTCTGTATCTTCCAAAATATCATACAACGTTATTATATAATCAGCCATACTACCTCGTTCCTCAGAGAGTCTAATTCTGTGTCCTTCTCTGAGATCAAGGCACTCTGTGTTCGGAGAGACTGCTGAAGAGCTGCGTTCTCCTTCTCTGATTCACTCGTGAAAGTGCTTTCCCTGTGCAGAAGAGAGCTTGTAAGAAGTGTGCTTCAGCTTTCGTTCGTTGGGGGTTAGTCGAAACAATGCAATAAACACCATAACAAACTCTGCCGTTGCTTACCTCATTTTCATCTCCTTCAGCTGATCATTGAGGCTGTCACACTCCTTCTTGAGCTGCATTGAGAGCGAATCAAATTTAGGGCTTTCGCCTCTCAAATGAACACATTAATCATCACAGCATTGTATTTAAAGCATAACATATTTACATAAAACACACTGCACATTTCATTCATTTTTTTAGCATTCAAAAATGACTGATTTAAAATATAAAAATGACTTCACTGAATACTTCAGTCAGACAAACTTCCAGATGCAAACTAATATATCTATTAAATCACACATATAATTCGGTTAACGTACGTTTAGCAGAATATTGCCGTCTTTGTGGCTGCTGGCGAGCTCCACGGTTAGCTTTTCCTTCTCGTGTTTCAGAGCCTCCACTGCATGGGCTTTTTCAGCGACTGCTTGTTTCAGCTCCTCACTGAAACACAAAACCAGCATTTCTTCAAACTACACTCTCAGACAGAGGAAAAGTGAAATCACAAAGGATTCCTACTTGACTTGTTCTTGAAACATTCATAAATAAAAGCAGCAATTCTCAACAATTCTCTAACCTGTGCTAAAAAGCATGTAAATGATGTAATTGAATGTACGGTCTCACTACTCAAAATCATGATTGTCATCTATTAATTAGTTATACGCAAACAGGAATCATGCTGTACTACAGGTATGGTGACAGCGATTTACTGTAGACCATGTGGCCATTATATAGACACACACGCACACGCACACGCACGCACGCACGCACACACACACACACACACACACTCACTCACTCACACACTCACACACACACACACACACACACAGACAAACACACACACACACACACACACACTCACACTCTTCAACTAAGTTAATAATGGGTTAGTTCACCCAAAAATGACAGTTCTGTCATCATTTATTCTCCCTCATGTTGTTCCAAACCTGAACGAGTTTATTTTCTTCTGTTAAACACAAAAGAAGATCTTTGGAAGAATGTTGGTAACCAAACAGCTGACGGTAGCCATTGACTAACACAGTATGGAGAAACTCAGGTTTGGAACAACATGAGGAGTAAATGATGGGGGAGGGGGGAAATCATTTTTGTGTGAACTATCCCTTTAAGTTCTACATTAAAAATAAATCAAGAATTGTATTTTGAATATGTAATACATTGGTTATTTTTATAATTCCCTTATCCTCCCCTAGTATTATACATGGTCGAATTACAAAGAAAGTAGATGAAATATCAGCAGAAGATTGAGACAAGACTTTAAACTTAGTGAAAACTCATCATGAATGCAAAACAGTAAATATCAAAGAGAAATGACTCAAATGTCACAACAATACAAAGAACAGTAGTATGAGCGTTCATGTAAACACTGATGATTTCATTCCGACTGAAACGAAACGAAGTGTCCATGTAAACGTGGCTACTCACATCTCTTCACTGATCTTCTGACGGTCAGAACTCAGGTTCTCCTCATACTGCGAGTTCTGCTGTTTCAAAGCATCCAGCTACGACAGATACAGAGACAAAAACAGCTTGCCTACTTTAATTATGTGTGTTTTACACCTACAGTTTTTGCTGTGCCAAAATGTTTTTTGTATGACAACTGACAGCATTTATTTTTCTTGTGAAACTTTTCATAACACTTCAAACACTGTACAGCAAATCTTAGCTGTTGAAGATGTTACCTCGTTCCTCAGAGAGTCTAATTCTGTGTCCTTCTCTGAGATCAAGGCACTCTGTGTTCGGAGAGACTGCTGAAGAGCTGCGTTCTCCTTCTCTGATTCACTCGTCAAAGTGCTTTCCCTGCGCAGAAGAGAGCTTGTGTGATTGAACTTTAGTCATCATTTACTCGCCCCCAAGCTCTCCAACCCCGTGTAACTTTTCTTCATCATTGAAAAAAAAAGAAACACTTAATAGAATGTTCGCGCTGCTGCATTCCATACAGTAACGTTTTCAGACTTCAACTCACATATGTGACCCTGGAGCACAAAACCAGTCTTAAGGGTCAATTTTGTGAAATTGAGATTTATACATCATCTGTTAGGATAGGACAATATTTGGTCGAGATACAACTATTTGAAAATCTGGAATCTGAATAAAAAAAATCTAAATATTGAGAAAATCATCTTTAAAGTTGTTCAAATGAAGTTCTTAGCAATGCATATTACTAATCAAAAATTAAGTTTTGATATATTTACGGTAGGAAATTTACAAAATATCTTCATGGAACATGATCTTTACATAATATCCTAATGATTTTTGGCATAAAAGAAAAATCAATAATTTTGACCCATACAATGTATTGTTGGCTATTGCTACAAATATACCCCAGCGACTTAACACTGCTTTTGTGCTGCAGGCTCACATATGATACTTGTAAAAAAAAAAAAAGAGAGAGAGACTAAAATCGCCAGTAGTCTCAGTCTTAATGACCGAGTCGTTGAGTCATTTATTCAGTCGATTTGTTCAAAACGGCTGATTCGTAAGAAACTGTTTTTTATGAATGGGTCAGTGAATCACGGATTCAACGCGTACAAAAAAGGAAAATTCATTCAGTAACGAAACACTGCCGTGTGCAGAGACGCACAACATGGCTTCGTTTAGAACCATTTCCGCTAAATAGTGCAAAACAACAATATTTTCTCTACGAATGTAATCACTTAATATTAACTTCTTGTTTATTGAATTGTTGCCCTGACTGTTAGAAAAGCCTGCCACAGACCATGATAAACTCTAACCAATCTGTTTATATAATCGCTCTAAATGCGTGTGTGTGTGTGTGTCCTAGAAAGCCTGCGCATATAATACCATGATTAAACATCTATACTTGTTGCTATACAGTAACAATAATCTAATTTGACTGACTGGAACTATGAACTATGTCTATGAAAAGCATTAATAAATGCTGTCATTTCTCTGTGTTCATAAATGTCTGTACGGACAGCTCGTTACCTTGTTTTCATCTCCTTCAGCTGATCGTTGAGACCGTCACACTCCTTTTTGAGCTGCATTCAGACGACAGTGAAGAGATTTCAAGACATTTACTAATCACAAAATAGCACACAGATATGAGAACATCGTCATATTCAAATTAAGTTAGGCATAAAAATATTTAGCTAGCAAACTACAAAGCTTGCAATGAATTTACATAAAACACTGGCCCAATTTTTCTTTTCTTTGACAAGCAGAATGAAAATTTGATCAAATAGTTTAGTTGAAGCATCTAGATTGCGAATCTTTATCTGCGGGATTTTTAAGACCTGCACAAATCAAATGAATACCATATGAGTGTGGTAGGGCCTATGATAACATATTAGAATGACTGTAAAAAGCATGATTTACAGTTGTTTTCACAAAAACAAAAAGTTTTATAAAATGATAAACATTTCACATTTCAGCCTTTAAAACCCACCTGTGGGACGCTTGGCACTCTTTTTTTTGTTGTCCTTTTTCTCTATCAAATCTTTTAGTAATCATCATAAATCATATATCAATTGAAAGCTTAGAAGCTTCATCCTGTGAAAACCATTTTGAAATCGGACATTGCGTTACCATGGAAATGGTGCTTTAAAATGTTTTGGCGGTCTCCTCCCCCTTTAGTGGGCGGTGTCATGTGTCATATTACAAAATGCATTACGGTCTTTTAGAATCAAAACTTTTTATAATCTTGACAAAAAACATATCATTGGAAAGGTCTGAATAGAACGCTCTTTTATTTTGAGATAGAAGTAATATTGACAGAGAAATCCTGACATTTGATAAAATAAAATACAATTAATATAGTGCATTTTCTTTACAGTACATGTAAACTACCATAACTTTTTGATACTTAAATTTATTTTTTAAATTCCACTTTTTGCGATAATCTGCTGATTTTCTTCTTTAAAAAGAGACCAAACTTAGGTCTGTATTCCAAAGTGTTCATAAATTACAACTATTTAAGTTTGGATAGTGCACCTGCATGCCTCTTTTAAAAAATGGGGGGTGACAAAATGAATGAGTCAAAAGTATCAATTATTATTTTAAACAATTAATATAATCCTTGTCTTTCCGTCCACAAATTTAAGACCTCTTCAAATCATAATTGATTTTTTTGTACCTTTCTTGCACCATTTAAGACTTTTTAAAATTTTAAATGCGATACAACTAAATTAAAAGACTTTTTAAGGACCTGCGGAAACCCTGATGCCACAAAATGAAACAGTAAAAACTGCACATAATTCAATAAACATACGTTTAGCAGAATATTGCCGTCTTTGTGGCTGCTGGCGAGCTCCACGGTTAGCTTTTCCTTCTCGTGTTTCAGAGCCTCCACTGCATGGGCTTTTTCAGCGACTGCTTGTTTCAGCTCCTCATACGACGGATACAGAGAAAAAAACAGCTTGAAGCAGACACTAGTAGATATAAATACTCCTGCAAATATCTGAGGATTTAAACAAATGTGCAGCTCATTGTGGCGTTTACATGAATTATTAATGTTTTCTGAACCGCACAAGTTGTGCTTCTACCAGCAGCTGGATGAGTGTGTAGTTAAGCATTACTGATGCAATTCCTGTAGGTTTTTACCGTGTTTCTCGCTGTAAACCGCACAGGTACAGCACGTTTCTTTATCTGTGGTGCTACACACTTGCCTGCTAAGCTTCCATTTCGGGTTTAACAGTACGAGTATGAGATTGTTTTTAATCACAGGTTCAAGGTATCTATGGGGCCCTATCATTTCTGCGATGCACAAAACACAGAGTTGAGAGTTTAACGGAGAATGTCCCAGAATTCGGCAGAATTTGGATGAATTGATCAAAAGCACGGCTGCACACACTGAAACTCAAAGGTACTTCTTCATGAAACGTTAGTTTAATAAAGAAATCGTGACATGAATACGTTACTAATACACAGTAGAATGTACTTATAGTAATAATAGTACTAATAATAAAAGTATTAAAACATTTATTTTTAAGGAGAAAAAAAAAATCTTTTTTTTATTTTACTTGTTTTAATTTTAACTGTAAACCTCTGTTGCGCAGCACTTTGTTTGCTAAAAAAATAAATTGGAATTGTTAAATTGCATTTTTTAAAGATTACTTAATTTTATTGTTTTATGCCTTAATGCATTTTTCTAGATTTACGATTTAATGAAAATGTATTAAAAAAAAACAGAATTTGGGAAAAATAAAATATTAAACAGACTTCATAGTGCCCTAAAAATGTAATAAACTGTTGTTAAATTGTGTACATTTCATGATTTAAATTAATTAGACATGATTTTTGATTACCAAAATAAAATTTTACCATTGAAATGGAATCCAGAAATATTCAAATTGAAAAAAAACAAACAAACAAGGAATCCAGAAAATGTAAATAAATCAAACAGAATTTGGGAAATAATAAAATGTTAAAAAGAAAGTATATACACACACACACACACACACACTCTCACACACACACACACACACTCA